TTTTTTATTTTTACGTTCAATTTGTAAATTAAATCGACTCATTAGGATTAATGTGTCCACACACGCGCACACACACACACAAGTGTAAAATCGAGGCTATCGCATAGTAATGTTTTTATTTTTTTTACGTATAGCATATAAGGAGAAAACGGTATTTAAATAGTTAGTATAATATTATATTATATAGGTACTTGCGTACCACGAGATATGGGCGAAGGATCCGCCGTCGCCGAGACCGGCGATAATTGGACACGTTTTTCTCTCTGGCATTTGCCATCTCTTTTTCATTCTGCCAATATTACTGCCGTAGACTGACACACCACAGACATACACATGCACACACGCTTTACACTTCGAGGGTACAAACGTTCTACCGAACTAACCTCATTAGTGGCGTTGCGGTCGGGGATGATGGAGAGGCGGGGATCCGGGAAAGTATAGTGCTATGGGAAGTTGTAAGACTTGCTTGGGGACAATGTCGTCATCGACGTCGTGGTTGTCTTTATAATTCAATCTGTACACACACACACGCGCACACCGACATGTGTATGACATCGAACTGCGAACGGTGATCGAAAAATATAAAGATCATCACTGTTGTAGGGAGGAAAAAATGTGATCTCCAACCAATTCGTACTTAAATTATTCTGGAGTTGGCACTTTTTCATAATAATAGTTCACTGTAAGCTGAGACGTCGTATAAGTACCTATAATATATATTATCAATTCAATATTTATTATTTTATTGCAACGGCGTTTCAGCAGATACAAGTCCTTAAACCTGGTGCATATTGTATATTAATATATATGAGTTTAATAACCGTTAATAACCATTGTCTAAACTCTTATATTCCTTTCGATTTAATATACCAAGACACTCGCATAATGTGTTGCTCATCAGGTAGATGAACTTGAAAACTGCCTACAGTTCTTGAATTATATACTTAATTTAATTTATTAAAAATAAATGACTATTAAAAACAAAAAAAAAAAAAAAACAACAACACAATTTACAATCAAGAGACCTTATCTGGCTAATTAACTCTAACATGCGTTCTTTAAAAATATAATGATAGCGCAATTCGTGTATGTTATGGATTAATCATAATTATAAATATAATATATTATATTCTAAAACAGCCAATTTATTTAGTAATGCATATTTTTTATATCAACTTTCAAGACCGTTAAGTGTTAATGATTAATTTTTTAATGTCGTTTTTTTAAAAAAATTATAAATGCGTATATTTCGTTCAAAATATATGATACATAAATATAATGCGTACTATATTTTAGTATAACGTTGAACAAAAACTAATAATTAACAATTTTGTTAATTACAATTTTTTTTGAATTTTTATAATGATCATCTTCGAAATTATTTTGAAATAAAACCAGCTGTGCAGTAAACTGCTTACGGCTGACTGTTTAAAACAATGGTAATTTGTAATAACCTGAAGTTACTATTAGGTATTATACCACTACCTTATCACTGTTCGGAAATAACTAAAACTTTTGATTATTGTTTCCATATATACTATAAGAACAATGGTAACCTCGTTTTAAAGCATATTGTATTATTATATAATATTATCTAAATTGTAAAAAGAAAACAATATGATAGGTACATGGATATTTAAATATAGTATATACCTATGGAAATCTCAATTCATGTGTTCATAAAATAAATTGCATCGCCTTTGTCAATGCCCTAAATCCTCTCTTATTTACTTATTAAACAATGTAGATAATATCATATTTTCCATAGAGTCTTAAAATATGTTTTTCCTTTTATTTTTATAAAGTTTACTAAAAGTATAAAGGTATTCTAAAAATTCGCTCAACACTTTTCAAACTCTCTACCGTTTTACTTTGTGAAATAGTGTAATACTCGTATTATAATTGAATGGAATTTTTATTAGTAATTGAATTTGAGTCATATCAGAAATAATATTTCATTCGTTTTTAATAATGCAATACTTACTTAATAAATTATATTTCTTTAGAAACTATTTAATTGTTTTTTTTTATCAGTTCTGGATTATTTGCCTTTTAAAGTTAATACCATAATAATAATATAAGAATTTTATGTTAGTATAATGATGTATTGATGTATAATGTTCATGAACCTGTATAGTGTAAGTATACTATTATCACGTACAGGTAATCAAAATTTAGTTAGTTATTGTATATAAAAGCCATTGTTTTTACTTTTTACTAATGACGGTAACGAACAATAACTGATTCAATGTCTAAATGTCAAGATAAATATAAAAATTAAAAGAGAAATAGAAACTTTACTTAATAATATTATGTATTAAAATGTTTAATGTTGTTTAATGTTTTTAATATAGAGTAGGTATATTAAAACACAATTATTCGCATGCAACTATATTATTAATAAAAACAAATCTGATAGGTAGCAGGGTACTTGGTATACGGTGCAACTGTACAAGTAAATAATATTAAATGGAAACGACTAACGACACACTTATTATCAACCTAAGCCGTAGAAAATTTACAATTTTCACATATTACGAAGTCGTTGTATTTTACATAACGTGTATATTAAGCACTCATAATATAAAATATCAATACTACATTTCCATTATTCATTATATCTTATAATATATATCTAAATTTTACAATCGCTATTAAATCGTATATTGAGAATTGTACAACTTTCATAATTTATATTCATGTTGTGACGTATAAATTATAAAACGAATAAGAATTAATAGTTAACGAAATAAATCCATTTAATATTTCTAAGCAAAAGGTAATATAGGTAGAAAATCAATTCTGTAAAAGCATGAATGTTGTTAACAACAGTCGTGTTGATTTAGAGCTTGGCATTTTATTTATAAACATGTATATGTTAGTAATGCTTAATTAATGAGTAAAAACTTGGAGCATATCATGTTATTTAAATTAAAGCCCAAGGCTTAATGAAAAAAGTATGTCGAAAGTGAACATTGAATACATATTTTTATTTTTATTAATAAATACCAGGATTTATAAAATTAAATATATTTTAATCTTATTTTTCATTTATAAATTCCTACGTATTTTATTTTTTTCTATTTTTCTTTTATTTTACCACTGCTTATTATTTAAATCAGATTGAAAATAAATCTAAGTGTGTAATTATTTAAATTTAATTAAATTTTGATTTTTGATTTTATTTTTTCTTTAACAACTAGTTGGTAGGATGTTATATTTATTATTCGCTCACTATCGTTGTTTAATGAAGCAAATTTTCATTGCAAATATTGATTTGATTCAATATATAAAAGAATACATATAAAACCACTTACTAAATTATAATTTATTACAATTCTTTGATTTATACTGTCCATTTCACTCACAATTTTTTTTTTACTAATAATAATATTAATATTATTATCAGGTTGTTATTGAATCTATAATTTTAAAATATTTGAAAAAATTTAAGCTGTGCCCTGTTACACAATAAAGTGATTTGTTTGTGTATTTCCTTATTTATTAATGTGTTTATATATATGTATGTACTAGTGTACCACACTACCACGGTTTGATACTGAAACATATTAATTTTGAATTTTAAAATACTTGGATGGCTTTATAATGTTTATGAGAAAATACGAACATTTTGTTGTCTCAAAATCAAAGATCATTACGGAAACATACACCGCACTTGTTTTTAAGTTTCCATAAACCATCCGTATAACTTATTGTGCAACTTATCATTTGGTTTTTCACATAAATTCGATTTATGTGACGAGGGTAGAACAACTTATAATTTCCGGATCATTAAAGCCATGCTCATAATATACATATAGTTACTATAATGTACTATCAAAAAAAGATAAAAGAAAAAATAATGTTAAGTTCAAACTCAGTAGTCGAACTTCGGTAGATATGAATTCGATATGAATATTAGTGGAAGGACTAAGTCGCAGTAGGAACTGCAGCGTAAACCAGGGGTGAAGTCACACGATTATAAACCATTTTATGTATATAATAATAATAATAATAATAATCAGAAAACCAACGCCCTCGAAGAACGCGTGACCTCGAGATCGTCTAAGAACTATGCGATGAAAGTGGCTTATGGCACAGCCGTCTCTCCGCGCCCGCACATAAGTTAGGTACCTAATAGGTACCTATATAGGTACCTATATAGGTACTACCTATATAGTTTTGCCGGTACTAAAACTGCCCTACGAACACAAATTATTGTAATTTACAAGTTTAACGAGATAATATAGTGTGACGTCCACTGTATAGGACCGGTGCGTATAAATATTGAATAACATATAAAATGTTAACTTTTACAGAATTGTATACGAGATGTAACTATATTAATGGATCGACGCTTTGGGAATGGAAAAAAAATTGAAAACGCATTATTCGCCAACTTGCTTTTTGCTTATACTTAACCTATGTAGGAATAGACTTCATCAATATATCGAAATACGGGTTCGGTACGGGTCTTGCCCCCTAAATATATTTTGTCTGTTAGTGCTGCATCGATGTCCGATCGTAAATATATGGGTTCGGTGTATGAAAAGTAAAGAGTCCACCCAGGTTTGAAGGACAGCGGAGTGGTGAATGTTATCTGAAAGTAATTTACTACAGACTGAATTTCCCGATATCTTATGACCGTATTAGAAAAAGTGTTTGTACATAAATGGTAGGTATAGGTAAAAAAAAATCACAAACGTTTGCCAAAATCTCGTGTACCTAATCAGCTGCCAATAGTTTAAAGTGAAAATAAATGCATGGAGCTAGACTTCAAGTCTCCTAGCTGCGTATTTATTTACGTCATTTAAACTCCGCGTAATATTTTTCGTAAGAGGGACTTATTGTTACGATTTTGGGGGGTTTCATAGTTGATCTCCCAGCTTATAGTCGTTCAAAATGGATAATTAAAATGATATGATTAAATAAATGTGTTTCAGGTAAATAAGAGAAAGAAGTACTATACTAGATTACTAAAACCGTAAGAAATAAAAAAGATGTCGTCATCGTCTTCGCGGTCGCAATCTGGAGAGCAACGGGTGGCCAAGTTCGAGACGTTCATCAACGACGTGCTCAAGGACAGCCTAAGGCAGATCTCGGCTGCTCTGGATGTGATCAACGACCAGATTTCGGAACTGGAAGACGTGCGCAACACCGTGGACACAATGAGTCGGCTGGCGGGTGAACTTCCGGCCGGAAAGCCATTGAAGACTCGTGTCAACGTGGGGTGTGACTTCTTCATGCAGGCCAATGCGGACGTCCGGACGTTCTTGGTGTGCGTGGGGCTGGGATATTATGTCGAGTACACCAGGGACGAGACACTGGCTCATGTCCGGGTCCGGACCAAATTGCTCAAAGAGCGGGCGGACGATCTCCGAGACAAGGGGGCCCGGGTCCGAGCTCAAATCACCCTGGCCCTGCACTGCATACAGGCAGAGCAAGGCTTATAGCGATGCGAGTGCAGATCATATCGTAAAAGACTGCACTTGCATTGCACATGCACATGCACATGCACCCTCGATGAATTCACATACGACAGTTGCATGCTGAGCATGCATGCGAACGAAGTTATATAAATAAATTTCGTTTCGTTATATTTTTAAAATATCATTCTAATAAAACAGTGAACACGAATATTGTAGGAATACTTACTTTATTTATTAAATATATAATGTATTTTTTGAATTGTATTTTTTGCAATTTTTTTCGTTTTTTTACTCGCCGGATATCCGTTTTTACTGTACAACAGCTGCAAAACCGTCAAAAAGTTTAATTCACGTGTCAGTGTGTCACGTTGCTCCATGTTTCATAGGACCGGTGGCCCACAGTTATTTTTTTTTACCGATGCATATATGAATAAAATTTTATAATTTTATGAAGCATTATTATTTGTAAAATAATTTTATATTTTCTTAAGAAAATTAATGGAAACTCACAGTAAAATAAAATAATTTTTAAAGAAAATGTGTAAAAATAACCTAAAAATAAATTTGTATAAAAAATAAGAGGTACGTACCTAAGATTCAACTTTTAGTTACACAACCATTGTAGCAGGGAAAATGAATCACCATGTATATTGTATTGTACATGTACAAAATGAATTATAAACGTACAAAACACTTTGAACCGTCCACGATTGTAGTATACAAAAATATAATGTATTTATTATAATGCATTAGGTATATCCATTATCCATAAAAGTAGTACCAACTAAAAGTATGATGCATCTATTGTATAATATATTATTATGTGTTGGGGGTTGATCCGCATTAGATTTTCACATAATTGTTGACAAATTGTACAAACGCATATTGACAGGCCTATGAGAATTATACTTACAATTTCTAAAGGGCGTTTCCGGAATAAAAAATGAATTGAAAATGTAAAAAGTAAAACACGCTCTGTAATTTTGTTATTTTAAATTGAGTATACGGACGGCTGTGATTGGTCGCATACAAAATGTTCACTTAATTATTGTTTAACTTTTTCCGATGCGAATATGATAAAACGGTAAAACAATATTTTCCTTTAGAGTTTATACACCATCTCACATTATTAATATAATATAATTAATAAAATAAACCGTTTATACGTATAGACAACCAAAAATATATTAAAACTAATATTATGTATGACGACTATAATAATATATAACATTATAACAACATTTGCATCAGGAATAATATTCTTTCATATTTACCGTAGAACGATTTCATTCTCAGTCGTGTGGGTAAAACGAATAGTCTACGATTTCACTTTTTGTCCCGAAACTAGTAATGCTCATAAGTCATAATATAAGCTGTAACGAATTATTAGAGTGATTAGACAGAAATAAAATACCTAGAAAGGTGCGTTTCGAAAAATAATTGATCTTAAAAACTCTCGTTATTCGTTCGTATCTATTTTATGTGTGTTAGCCGAACTTAGTTATTTATTACATTTATAACGCTGCTTATACACTTATACAAATTAAGACGTTATTATGCACAGGCGCACAGCACTCGTAGTTGTTATATATTATGCTTATTGGAATGAATAACGAGAAGAGAGATACAATTAGCATGTTTATCGGAAATTTCTAAGTAATAAATTTAAATAATTTCAAGAACCTTCCAAAAATATAATATATTATATATTCTGTAAACTATATGTGGGACAAATGTAATTTTAATGGGATACCGCGATAACAGCGCACTGCAAGTAGAGAGCAATAAAAATAATCGTCCGGACGTTAAATTGAAATTCTTTTGGAGAATAATATATATTATATGTATACAATATAATGTTTATGTAGTATAATGTGGAGGAAAAAATCGATGTACTATGCGCGAGGAGGAGGAGACCCTTGTTTAACCAGAAGTCGTGGAGCGATTCATCTTGGCCAACAGTGCAGCAAATGAAAAAAAAAATAATAATAATAATAAAGTAAATAATAGCAACAAAAGAACGAGACCGTCGGTATTTCGTATTGGTTTTTTAACCTTTAAACCAACGACGGCAAGATGGGTGTGGGTTACCATGGCTATTGGTCGGTATATGAAAAAAGCAAATAAATGTTTTGTGAGCGATTTCCGATAGGAAAACCGGTAATCGACCGCGCTAACGATCTTTTACACACTCGTTATTGTCGCTGGTATATAGATAGATAGATAGGCACCGCATTTTCAATTCGTAGAAAGTCCCCGCTAGGGGTGCCGGACGTGTGCGCGAGGCGAATTGTGTGCCACCGGGTGCGGCGAAAATGTGTGTAAGTATATACCTACACTCGGCGATGGGAAACTTTGTCCGGTCGTCGTCCAAAAGAATCCCGTTTGGTCGTATAATTCGCATAATATAATAGTATGCGCCGGTGGCGGCCGTGAACACACACACCTCTGGGACGGATTTAGGGTCCGTAGAGGAGACGCGCTTAAAATTTCGATTTGACAGTTGAATAGGGTCGCCGCCCCGCAAAGACGCGCCGGTCACTTTAATCAGGTTTTACCGGAATATAATATATAGAGTGTGCACGCGTGTATCGTGTCGGTAGTTGTCGTGGGTACCTATAGGAACCTCGCAAAATAAACCGCATTGAGATGTAGGACGAGATCAACAGTTACTGCTGTAGTACCTTTGTACAGTATAATAATATACTCTCATACATATATATAATATTATATACATAAAAAAACCAAAGTGAAATACGTGAAAAGACCTTATTCGGAGATTAAAAAATAATAACGATGATGGGGAAAAAAAATGAAGAAAAGATTTATAAATGCGTTTTCCTCGTACATAGGTATATAATATTATATAAATGTGCGTATTGTATTTGTGTTTATACATAGGTGGTACGCGCCCGTTGGCTGGATCCGTTGCAAATTGGTAGCGTGTGTGCGTGTGTAGTGTAGTACGTAGGTACTATGTAGTATGTAGTGTGTAGGTTTCTTCCGATTAACCACCGCTGCCACGAATGTCCCCACGGGGATCAGATACATGATGATGATATTATATTTTATTCAATAGAACGAAAAAGAGTGGAAAAACCTAAGCGTACAAAAATAATATAATAATCAGATAGATGAAACAATGGGTTGTTTGTGCTGGAGAGAGGAGAATCGATAAATAAGATACACTGCAGACATATACGAAGGGTCGGCCACGACAAGAGGCAAACGACTGCGCGCGGACAGCAAGCCGTTCTGTGCATTTGTACATAATGTTAAAATATTATGATAATAATGATTATACATAATATCGATGCGTCTCGGACGGTGACGGCTGCCGGGAAGTCGTACGGGAAAGACTTATCTTTTTCGGACGTTACACATAACATACATACAGCGATAACACCCGTTGTCGTAATATATATTTTAATAATAAAATATTCTGACGAGGCTGCGTTATAAAAACACGCACGACCGATTTACAAAATTTATATTACTTATACGTGTCCGGCCACGTCTCGGATCGACGTATTATCAGAGATCGCGGTCGAATAATCTCCTTGGCGCGAGCGTGCACTCCCGTTGAAAGGTTTTTATTAATAACCCTCTCGGCTATACAGCACGGCTTCCCCCACGTCTCAGATTGTTCTTTCTTCGTTGATATCATATTATACGCGTACGAGACGTCGTGTCCTCGACAACCGCGGCATATACTTACAACAGTATGATAATATTGTTTAATACTGCAGCCCCGGCGACGAGATAATAACGCGTTTTATCCGTCGGAAATCGTTTGTGTGCGCCCATTATAGGCTACAGCGAACGACGCACATGGCACTCGGCCCGGATCTCTCTCATAATAATGACGGATGACGAACAGTCGTGGACAAGGCTTTTCGGTCTCAGCGGGTAGGTAGGTACTAGGTACCTATATTCTACTATTGTACCTATACAGCTTTATTGTACCCACCCATGCGCACCGTATTATTGTGTTCAGTTTCAGTATAGGCGCGTTGTATACACACATAATATTATTATATACAATGACGCGCGTTGGTGGCTTAGACCCGACGTCCGGAAAACTTTGCCGTCGTACGATATTGTGTATAGTCGTATAGATATACGCATATTATACCCCGTGACAGATGCTAGCATCGTAATTCGATCTTCATATAATATAATAAACACCGTTTTTGAATCAATACAATACGCGTACCCGGTATGTCGGTCATCTATACGAGAACCCATTTTAATGGCGACGTGTTATTTTTGTCAAAACGTATACGGTATACGGTATACATATAGGTATATAATACTATTCTGCAGAATCTATATACATAGTACATATTGTACGAAACCACGCCTCCCCCGAGTCCTCCCTATTCCATTTCTTCCGTCCGAAATGTTTGAGCGCTTTTCCGTGTTGTACTGAACAATTGTACTCACACGCCATGAAAAAAATTCAACACACAAATAAATGCCAATCGGTACACCTATACAAATGCGCCTTCTGCTACGTATCGAAAACTAAAAAAAGTTTCGGAGTTAATAAAAACCGCACCCGATTTTCGTCATCTTGAGATAGGTATAAAAAGTTCTCAGATCGTCTATTGATTTCGGTAAAATCTCATAAATATTATAATTGAATTTCCAATAGCTGCAATCTCGCACATCATTGTATTATATTGGGTACAGTATCAGTGTCATCTCAGAGAATAACATTAATTGCTCATTGGTTATGTATACGGTATACCTATACCTGCACTTAACTAGTTAACATTAATCTGTCTTTGGATAGTAAACTTATATGATCTATGTGCGTCACGTAATTGAATTGTCTGTTTAGTGCCGAGGGTATTTGGAGCGGGGGAGTGAAAAAGGGTCGACTGGGATGTAATGCGTTTTCTCATTTGTGGCACAGCTGTAGCTCCTAGGATTATAACCTCACCGAAAGCGACGGTCGTCTTTTGTCCGTCCATCATCAAACGGCAGAGGTCATCAACAGTTTTCCAATTCAATTGGTC